GCACAGAGGTAATTGGCTTGCCCAAAATCACAGTCAGAAGTCAAACCAGGCAAGCTGCTTCCAGAGCCTGTGCTCTCAATCCACTTGCCATACTACCTGCATAATAAATGTCAGGTTTCTTACTTTACAGACAGAGAAACTGAGTAGTTAAATAATGGCCAGAATTGCCTAAGGTCACTGAATGAATTAATCAGTAGCGAAGTCAGAACACTCTAGAATCCTGAATCTTTCTTGGCCCAATTTTTCTACCACCAATGCATATAAAGACACTTCCTCTGTCATCTTTATTATTATCATCTTTTTTTTGAGACAGAGTTTCACTCTGTTGTCCAGACTGGAGTGCAGTGTCGCAATCTCAGCTCACAGCAACCTCCACCTCCTGGGTTCCAGCGATTCTCCTGCCTCAGCCTCCTGAGTAGCTGGGACTGCAGGCACGTGCCACCGTGTGCAGCTAATTTTTGTATTTTTTAGTCGAGATGGGGTTTCACCATATTGGCCATGCTGGTCTCGAACTCCTGACCTCAGGTGATCCACCTACCTCTGCCTCCCAAATTGCTGGGATTACAGGCATGAGCCACCATGCCCAACCATTATTCCATTTTTAATAGTTCTCAAGGCTATACGACTTTGGCTTGAAGAAACAAAAATCAATTTCAAACACAAAGTTGCTCCCTGAATAAAATGCTGTTTCCTGAAGCCCAGGATTCCTAAGAAAAACAGAAATCAATCAACTTAAACCTTCTGGCACACCATAAACTTCAAATGGTCTAAAGTCTAGAGAAACAGACAAGTCCCTCCTCTTGCTTAGCAGGTCAGGGAACGTGAACATCAATGCATGAGACCACAGGCCTCTCAAGTTTTTTCAGTGCCTAAGGTTATGACATGTAAAGATACATATAAATTTTTGTAGCACTTTTAAACACTTGAAGCTTCATGGGTTCTGTTTAAATCCCAAGGAGATCATTTATCCTGCCTCATCCCTCTTCTTTAACTAGAGAAGAAAATAGTTAAGTAGATTTGGGGAAGCAAAATCAAGCTCTCCACATGGGAGTTGCCTACAGAACTGATAACATTCTCCCCAGCTCTCTAACATTTGTTAGAAATGTTGAGGTGTGGCCGGGTGCAGTGGCTCATGCCTGTAATGCCAGCACTTTGGGAAGCCAAAGCAGGTGGATCACCTGAGATCAGAAGTTCAAGACCAGCTGGCCAACATGGTGAAACCCCGTCTCTACTAAAAACTACAAAAATTAGCCAGGCGTGGTGGCAGATGCTTGTAATCCCAGCAACTCAGGAGGCTGAGGTAGGAAAATGACCTGAATCCAGGAGGCAGAGGTTGCAGTGAACCGAGATTGCGCCACTACACTCCCGCCTGTGTGACATAGTGAAACTCTGTCTCAAAAAAAAAAAAAAATGTTAAGGTGCTACTCCTATATGTTCCAATTCTGTAAAACTGTATCTAGTTTCTGACTTAAGGGCTTTTTGTCTTTGATTCTGGCACACATAGTTATGACAGTTTTAGAATAGGAAGAGCAGGTTGGTCTTTTTTTGCAGGTTTTCTTTTTTTTTTTTAAGTTGGGATTTCACCATGTTGGCCAGGCTGGTCTTGAACTCCTGACCTCAGGTGATCCACCCATCTTGGCCTCCCAAAGTGCTAGGATTACAGGTGTGAGCCATCTCACCTGGCCAAGCAGGTTGGTCTTGAATGCCCTGAAAACAGCAGCTACAGGAAAATATGAAGACCTTACAGGGGTGATTTCGTCTCTAAACAGCAATGGTCCTAAAACAGGCTCTGGGGTGTCCTCAGGAACTAAACTATCCTTAGAAATGACATGCTTCCAGAGCAAGGGCTATAAGGCAGTCAGTTTTATTAGAGTCAGCCAAGATTGAAGTAATAACAGAAATTTCATGTGGCCTGTTCAGTCTGTGGAAAATAGTCCAAAAGTTTCCCCACAACTGCCAACCAGTAGCCCTGCTCAGAGCCAAAGCCAACAACTAGAAACAAAGTTGCCAAGCCCTTATTTCCCTCTCTGTGTTGTATTATTGTGTATTTTTTACTTTTCCCTTGGCATTTTGAACTTAGATGTCAGCCCAGCCCTGGTTGATATAAAAGCATGAAGCTTTCCTGCTGCAGTGTGTTCAGAGACAGTGCCATTGAACACAGTGACCACCTGCATGGGGTAGGAGGATGCTGTGAAGAGCAGTTATTTCCACGTGCACATAAATGAGAGTTTTTCAGGAGTACAAAATAATCATTTTTAGTTTTCAGTTGATGTGCAATCTGGCTAAACTTCCCTATATTGAGAATATACTGATTGTGTTCATTTTTACTATGTGCTTGGCACTGTAAAAGGGCAAGCCTAATTTAGGTTAATGTCCTTTTTAGCAAGGAACAGCTATATGGAAATTTATTAAGTAGAAGATGATGTCCTTAAGAGGACTGTCATTCTAGAAGAAACTGGCTTCGGGGAGCACTTCGTTTCAAAAACTAATATTTCTCCTTCATCAATACTCAGGAAACTACAGCTCAGCTTCTCTCAGATAATTTTAATTTTTTTTTTTTTTTTCTTGAGACAGAGTCTCACTCTGTCACCCAGGCTGGAGTGCAGTGGTGGTATAGCTCACTGCAGCCTCCGCCTTCCAGTTTCAAGCAATTCTTGTGCCTCAGTCTCCCATGTAACTGGGATTACAGGCATGTGCCACCATGCCTGGTTAATTTTTTTGTATTTTTAGTAGAGACTGGGTTTCCCCATGTTGGCCAGGCTGGTTTTGAACACCTGACCTCAGGTGATCTGCCTGCCTCAGCTTCCCAAAGTGCTAGTATTACAGGTGTGAGCCACCGAACCCACCTTCTTTTTTTTAACATCATAAAACTGGCCAGGTACAATGGTTCATGCCTGTAATCCCAGCACTGTGGGAACCCCAGGCAGATGGATCACCTGAGGTCAGGAGGTTGAGACCAGCCTGGTCAGCATGGTGAAACCCGTGTTTACTAAAAATACAAAAATTAGTCGAGCATAGTGGCAGGCACCTGTAATCCTAGCTACTAGGGAGGGTGAGACACGAGAATCATGTGAACCCAGGAGGTGGAGGTTGCACTGAGCCGAGATTGTGCCACTGCACTCAGTCCTGGGAGACAAAGTGAGACTTTGTCTCAAGAAAAAAAAAAAGTGTATGCTCAAACAAATAAATCTTCAGAGTTAACAAAAGAAATATAAGCATGAATTTGCTCATAAATATTTCCCATTTTATGACCTTCCTATAATTTGGTTTTCACTTAGGTTTTTAATTCTAATACAGAGAATGTCAGGCATATAGGAAGGAAACAAAAAAAAGTTGCAGTGAATGATGTCATGCATGTTGAGCCAAACATATTATTATGTATATAATTAATAATAGCATGAGTTGAATTAATAAGACAGACAAATGGTAAAAAAATAAAAAATAAATACCACGGTCGGTCACAGTGGCTCACCTGTAATTCCAGCATTTTGGGAGGCCTAGGAGGGCAGATCACTTAAAGCCAAGAGTTCAAGGCCAGCCTTGCCAATATGGCATACCCTGTCTCTACTAAAAATATAAAAATTAGCCGGGTGTGGTGGTGCATGCCTGTAATCCCAGCTACTAAAGAAGCTGAGGCAGGAGAATCACTTGAACCCAGGAGGTGGAGGTTGCAGTGAGCCAAGATCGCACCACTGCACTGCAGCTTGGGTGACAGAGTGCAAAAACAAACAAACAAAAAAGACAAGAAAGCCCAGGTGCAGTGGCTCAAGCCTATAATCCTAGCACTTTGGAAGGCAGAGGCAGGCAGGTCACCCCAGGTCAGGAGTTCGAGACCTGCCTAGCCAACATGGCAAAACCTCATCTCTACTAAAAATACAAAAATAAGCTGGCCATGGTGGCATGTCTGTAATCCCAGCTACTCAGGAAGCTGAGGCAGGGGAATCACTTGAACCTGGGAGGCAGAGGTTGCAGTGAGTCAAGATCGTGCCATTGCACTCCAGCCTGGGCAACAAGAGTGAAACTCCAACTCAGGAGAAACAAAACAAAACAAAAAAAACCCCAGCATCATAAGCATAGCTCATTCCTAAAGGAAAAGATCACCCCTAATTTGAAAAGGTTTCTGAGCTCATGATCTTACTTTTCTTAGCTCATCATACATAAGCAATGTTTGGCTGCCCTCTACATTAATCAGCGCTTACAACATTCCTATGAAATAAGTGGATGAGGTGTATCATTAGCTCCATGTGGCAGATGGGGCAAACCAAACGTGGAAATTAAATGACTCACCTAAAGCCATCCAGAAGCCAATGGAGGAACCGAGATTAGAACCCACAAGCTTCTGTTTTCTGTGCAATCAACCCACAGTGCCCCAGTGTGAAGCTGAGCTTGCTCCCGGATTGCCACCTGAGACACTGGTCCTACTTAGTCACTAATGAGCATCCTTGCTCTGGGTGCCAGGGTGGAGAAAGAAGTCACCAGAGCCATGTTTCCTATCCCTGAAGAAAGAAAAAAATCCAAACATCTTTCAACTTAAGTTTATTTTTGAAGTGCCCTTCTCAGTACGTAAATAGTAAGCAATTTGAGAAGGAGCTTTATATTAAAGAAAAATAAGGGATTAAAAGGGCAATTGCAGTGGGCTTTTTTCAGATTAAAGGGATGTGAAACATTTCTGTTCAATGGGCTTGGAATAAAGTTCAAATTCAGTTCATACGCTTATCTCCAGATTTCACTTTTTAAAGTACCTCAAACATAAACTCCCACTCAACTTGATCAAAAGCTTCTCCTGCTTCAAGAGACAGAGCAACAATCAGCCCCCTTGTTCATTTAGCCAAGTCAGTGTTCTTAATCAGCATAAAAAACATCAGGAGCCAACGGGTGTTTTTTTTAAATAAAAAGTGGTTCGATGAGGCTCCAGGCTGGTGGCAGCATTCTCAGCCCAGAGAAATAGGAGTCGAGTCCTCAGATATGCAAACAGGCCCAAGAACAGGGACCCACTCCAATAGCTGGTATTTCTTCAAGCCTCAAGCCCTCTACTGTGTACTAACTTCATCTCCCTGCCTCTCCCTGCTCAGCATTCCACATTTCCCACCCATTTGGATCAAGATTCAGTGCCCATTTCTCGCTCCCAAAAATATGTCATTTGGGATTTTCTTCCGTTCCCTCTCTCAACAATTTGGTGCAAAAGCCTTTAGGTGGGGCAGAGCAGGATAACATCTGTGACTAATGGGGGAAGCCACCGTGGTACAGAGTTGGGTGCTGGAGCCCCAGCAGGGTGAGAAAAGTGTCTGCACAGGAGGGCTGCTTGCTGTGTGGGCTCAGAGCCTGAACAGGTGGGACAGGGTTCCTGCAGGTGCAGCCTGGCTTGGGGTGGCAGTGGAGTGGACATCCCCATGGAAGGGTGGCTGGGTATAAAGTTTCAGAGTCCAGGCAGAGTGGGAGGACTTTCCCTGGATAAGAGAACAGAAGGGGAATAGAACACTAGTTACACAGAGAAGATTAGTCAAATAAGTAACTTATTAAGGATAATGAAAGCCAGGTTTCTCACTGTTGGAGAAGGGAGTCACAAATATTGAAACAGAAACCTGGAATGAACCCTTAGTTGTCCAGTTGAAATTGGAAGTATCTAAATGATATTATGATCTTCAATATATTTATATAGATATAGGAATAAATATAGAAATGTGTGCATGCGTACTTACCTACATATTGTAGAAGGTAGAATAAGAGACCCCCAAAGATGCCTGCATCCTAATTTTGAAAACCTGTGAATATGTTACCTTACATGGCAAAACGGACTTCACAGGTGAGATTAAGTCAAGAACCTTAAGATAAGGTTATTCTGGTTTATCTGGGTGGGTCCAATATATTTACAAGAGTCCTTATAAGAGGGAGGCAGAGGCTGGGCACTGTGCCTCACATCTATAAACCTGGCACTTCAGGAGCCTGAGGTGGGACAATCACTTGAGCCCAAGTTTGAGACCATTCTGGACAATTCGGTGAAACCCCATCTCTACTAAAAATTCAAAAATTAGCCTGGCATGGTGGCGCACACCTGTAGTCCCAGCTACTAGAGAAGATGAGCTGGGAGGATCACCTGAGCCTGGGAGGTGGAGGCTGCTGTGATTGGACCACTGCACTACAACCTGGGCAATGGGAGTGACACCCTGTCTCAAAAATAAAAAAAAAGCCAGGGAGGGAGGAGGATCAGATTCAGAGAAGGAGACATGACAACAGAAGCGGAAGTGAAAGAGACAGATGTTAATTTGAGAATACTATGCTGTTAGCGCTGAAAATGGAGGAAGGGACCACAAGCTAAGGAAGGCAGGCAGCTTCTAGAAGCTGGAACAATGAAGGGAAGGGATGCCTCTAGAGTCTCCAGAAGGAACAGCCCTGCTAACACCTTGATTTTAGGGCTTCTAACCTTCAAAACTAGAAGATGACAAATTTGTGCTGTTTTACAAATTTGATGACAAGTTTGTGATACACCTACTGTTATATTGGCTAGTTCTGTCCAGTAAGCGCTCTTGGGAGATGCAATACCCCAATAGCAATGAGCACACCTAGCTGCTAAATACCTTTCTCCATTAAAAGGAACCAAGCCTCTTCAGAGAAATGGCTGATTCAGGGCTGAGGAAGGGAAAATACAAGACAAGCCTGGAGTATGTTTTCTCTCTCTCTTTTTATTTTTTTTTTAGATGGAATTTTAGCTCTTGTTGCCCAGGCTGGAGTACAATGGCACGATCTCAACTCACTGCAACCTCCGCCTCCCGGGTTCAAGCAATTCTCCTGACTCAGCCTCCAGAGTAGCTGGAGGTGATGCATGTGCCACCACAAATGATGTGATCTTGGCTCACTGCAACCTCCGCCTCCTGGGCTCAAGTGATTCTCCTGCCTCAGCCTCCTGAGTAGCTGGGAATACAGGCACACCACCACGGCCAGCTAATTTTTGTATTTTTAGTAGAGACAGGGTTTTAACATGTTGGTCAGGCTGGTCTCACACTCCTGACCTCATGATCCGCCACCCTCAGCCTCCCAAAGTGCTGGGATTACAGGCATGAGCCACCACGCCCAGCCTAATTTTGTATTTTTAGTAGAGCTGGAGTTTCTCCATGTTGGTCAGGCTAGTTTTGAACTCCCAACTTCAGACGATTCACCCGTCTTGGCCTCCCAAAGTGCTGGGATTACAGGTGTCAGCCACTGCACCCAGACGATCATTCCCATTTTATAGACATGAAGGTGAAGAATGGGGCAGTGAGCACACTTACCTAAGAGTCAGTCTGAATGAAGCTAGTCTTGCCCTGGAGCCCGTGCTGTATGTAGACCACATTGGACGTCAGGGTATCTATCTGGCCATGTACAGAGCTCCAAGGCTCACCAAATAGTAGCTACATATTATTGGCCATCTAGTCAACCCACTGAAGGTCTAGAGAAGCACACTGAGGCCCAGAGGGGTGAATGACCTCACCTGGATTACATAGATTATTCCCAGAAGAATTGGGTTAGAAGCAGGATCCCTGGTTGTCAGCCCAGCATGGCGCCTTCTCCCATGACACAGGGACTTGGCTCTGGTCATCTATTGTAAATCACATAGTGTTTATCATATGACATCTGCAGGTTTGTTTAGGGGTAGTTAATGAAATTAGTCAGCGTTTCTCACAAATGGATCTCAGTGTCCATCCCATCCAGACAATTATGTTGACTATGCTCAGGCTAAGTTAATACACCAGTAATAACTACTGTGAAAGATGAAAGCTAAAGAAAGAGATGAAAACTAAAGAAGGGAGTGGGGGAGA